CCGGGATGGCCACGTGCAGCCCCCCGGCGCCCGCGCCGCCCTGCGGGGACGGGAAGTGCTCGGAGCTGGGGGGCTTGGTCATGCTGTAGGGGGACTCGTTCCTGGAGATCTCCCGGTTGGGCGGGTAGTTCCAGATGCTGCTGTCGTTGTCGAAGTTGATGGGTTCCGAGATCTCCGTCTTGATCTTGAGCACCGAGGCACTGTGGGGGGACGACAGCAGCCGCGGGGGCTCCACCAGGCCGGCGTCCAGGCCGCCGGGGCTCGATGCGCTGGACAGGCGCCGGCGGCTGGCGCTGCCGCCCTTCTGCCGTTTCCGCCTCTTCTTGCGCTTCTGGTGCTTGCTGGAGGCCTGCGCGCCCGCCTCGCCCGCGCTGTCCGAGTCCTTGGCGCTGTCGGACGTGAGCGACTCGCAGTTCTGCAGCCGCAGGTCCGACTCGCTCTCCACGTAGCGCTCCACCTTGATCTGCATCGGACCCAGCGCGCCGAAGCCGTCCTCCGCCGCCTTGGGGTTCTCAAAGTCCGAGTGCTCGAAGCTGTCGTCGCTGTCGCGGCTGTCCGGGTTGCTGGAGCTGTGGCCGTCGTCGTTGCAGTTCATGTCGTTGTCGCACCCATTGCCCGACTTCTTCCGGTCGGGCTCCGGGTCTTCGCTGTTCTCGGACTGATTCCCCTTCTCGTCGGACTTGGAGTTCTCGTTGTCCTCTGCGTGGGGTCCGCGGCCGGGGCGGGGGTGGGGCAGGGGAGAGAAAGACAGAGAGGGGACACCCGTTAGCAGGTTACAGGGCAGAACCGGCCTCTCGTCTCAGGGGCGGGGCAGGAGGCATCTTGTCCTCTCCATAAACTGCACCACCTTCTGGGGGCTTCAAGCCTGGGCCTAGATGAACGCAATTTAGCAGGCGCGGGCGTCACCTGCACACTGCACACAGTGTGGAATCTCAGGCCCCACCCAAGCTGCTGAACCAGATTCTGCAACTAAACAAGAGCCCCAGGTGATTCTTAGGCACGTGGATGTGTGAGAAGCCCTGCAAAGATAACTCAGGTAACCTGGAGAAAGGTGGACGAGACCCTGAAAGATAATGGAATGCTTGGAGACTTCCAAAGAGCTCTGCAAATCCACACTCCCTATTTCTAATGTTATTTTTCTCCATAGCATTTATGAATCGCCATCTCATTCATTGTATGTTTTTATTTTTTGTTTGCTTCTGTCTCTTCCACCCAGTAGAATAAGCCCCATGGGAGCAGGGGATGTTTGTCTTGCTTTATTACTATATACTATATACTATACTATACACTATATACTATATACTATATAAATAAGGGGCAGAGAATACTGTAGTACTTGTGCCGAAGTAGGAACTTTCAAATTAATACAGTGTGTGGGGAGAGGACAACACTCAAGATCCACTATAGGTTCTCTCCACTTCCTGATGCCTCCCTGCAGCTGTGTCTGACCTACAGGCATTCAGACTGACTGACAGGCCTGTGGTGCTGCAGCTTTGATGGTGAGGGGTTGGCGGAGGAATCTTAGCCACCTGCCACATTCTCCCAGAAAACACAACCTCAGAAGATTGGGGGATGCTGCTGATTTCTACGGGTTTGCAGAGACGATTTTGGGGGCAGAATCTTGGGCAGGTCATGTAACTACACCAGCCTTCATCTTCCTTTCTGTAGCAAAGAAGCACTGTTAGAAAAGACTTGGGACTTTGTTTTGCAGCTGTCAAATTTTGAGTTCTGTAGTTCCTGGCCCTCCATGTGTCTGTGGAAGGGGATTAGGGATAGGAGGAAAAGTAAGTTTTTGTATTAATTTTCTTGTGCTCCAAGTAACTACTTAGGAAGTCTCCCTCTCCAAATAATGAGAAATGGGAAAGCATGGATTTGGATTTGTTCAGCATACATTCAGAAGACAAGCAATAATCTAGCACCCTGTCAGGGGTACTCACTGATGTTATTGAGTGTCGACCCCACTTTGGAGATGTGATCCCAGCTTGGTGAAGCTATGAACATTTGGGACTCTAAAAGTCATAGGCTGTCTGGGAGCAAGCAGAGTAATCCCTGGTACCTGCTTCGAGTAGAGATGCCAGAGATGCTAAGTATGGGGTTGCATCATAATTCCTTCATGTGGTCAGGTATATATTCATATAAATATATGCATTGTGTATAGAGAGAGACAGAGAGAATGACAGCAACTTAGTAATAATTTGATGTACCCCTATTTCATTTTTTTGTTGTTGTTGATTTTTTCCCGGTACCGGGAATTGAACTCATGATGTCGCCCTTGCCAGGCAAGCACTGTGCCACTGAGCTAAATCCCCAGCCCCTGATGTACCCCTATTTCAGTACAAAATTTGGCCAGTTGCTTGGCCTTAACCATGGCCCTCTGGCTGAGGCCCACCCCTCATGTTAAGGCAATCTATAATTACAGAACATGGAGAAGTAATACCTGTAATACCTGAGGTGTCTTTAGAGTCTGACTCAGAGTCGGATGTCTCAGAGGATTCCGAAGTTTTCTCTGGCAGGTGGGGGAGCTGTGCGATGTCCATGGGTGTGTCCTTGTACTCGGGGTTGCTGTGGGTAGACAGGCATTCATCAGGTGAGCACACACCTGTTCTGGGTGGTTTGTTTTGAACTATCTTCTCCTGCACTTCCTGGCCCCAAACTTCTGGAGTTTAGAAGACTAAATAGGAAATGATTTCTCTGCTCTTGTTGGAACTTTTCACAGAAGCTTGGATTGCATCTGCCAGGGTACAGGTGCACCCTGCTAGAATGAATACCCAAACGCTCATGAAAGCTACTAAAAAGCTTTCAAGCAATCAGGTACCACTGGGGGCCAGGGAACTGTGCTGCTTGACATTTCTCCCAGCATAACACCTGGGGGGATGGGAGGAGGGTGGGAGTTCTCTCCAGAGTTCATTCCCACACCTCCTGGTGTGCCCCACCTTTGCTTGGACTCCTAACGAGTCCATTGCCTCAGCTCCCTTGTCTTGGCCCCTTCGTGTAGCTCCTAAGCACTTCAGATGGCTCCAAAGCTACTGGGGGGAGTGCAGAGTCCTTGGTGCCTAACGACCTGACAGATCCCAGGTGCACCTTGGGATGCATGGATTATGGCTACTGAACTGTCAACACACCCATTACAATCACATTTTCATCGGCTCATGAGGGGCACACCTGTGACTTGTTAGCTGGAAATCTGATTGCAGTGGGGAGAGTCCCAGTGTGTGAGAGTCCCCACAGAATGGATCTAACCCCATTTGTGCAAATGTGCTCAATTTTTGTTCTGTTTTTACTTCCGAAATAAGCCTTTTCTGGAAAAGAGAGCCTGCTCGGTCAGTTGGGGCAAGCTGTCTTCTAGAAATGTCATTCCCAGGCTGGCTGGTATCTGAGCACTATCAGCTCCGATGATCTGAACCGATAAGGAGAACATCCGGTCTCCAGATGGGAACTGCCTCTCACCTCCTTCCACAAGGCTGGCCAAGCAGAGGCTCACAGCAGATGATTACTGACTGACTCATTTACTAACTTCTAGCGGAATTTCCATATTAAAGAATCACTGTTTCAGTAACTACTCTAAAACCTCAAACATCCCTTGGAGGGTTAATTCACTAAGACAGATTATCAGGCACTTACTCCTTAGTGTGAATCAGCTTCAACAGCAAAGCTCTCTCTAGATAATCAGATAAGACGAATGGCAGGAGGATGGACTTAGCACTTTGCACACTTGAATACTGAGTCTGTCATTCTGTTAGGTATCATAAGGGAATGGAAAGAAGATGGAGGAGCAGCGCTGTGAGAACAGGGAAGGATAAGCCTTGCTGGGACCCATACGAGGGATTCTGAGGAGGAAGAAAGGATTGCTCAGGGAAGAATAAAAGACAAGACCAGGAAAGCAAACCAAACTTCAGTGGTTGTCATGTTGCCAAGGAGATCTTACTAGATGGCCAGGCGGTAGAATGACACCACAGGGCTGCAGGCTTGGTGGAATTCTGCAAAAGACCATTATCACGTGTCTCCTGTGCTTTCTGTGCCACGCAGGTTCAAAGGTCGCCATCCTCTGAATGTCTTCTATCACTAACCTCAGGATAGGTCTTTGGGTCAGTTAAAAAGGGTCCACCACACCTTGGACTGAGAGTCTGGTACCTGAGGGTTGGTCTTAGACACCCAAACTGACTCCTTTCTCTCTATATGGAACTGGATGAGATACAATTTTCCAATGCTCATAAGCTTATACCATTTAACTCTGGGATAACTCAATGGTACTGACCCCAAGTTGTGTAGATTGACATCATCTTACCCTTCTTACTTCTTCCGCTGGGGAAGTCATGAGGCTGATGAGGTAGTAAGAAAGATTCGGATAGGGAAAGTCTCACAGAATGGGAATAACAATCATATAGACAACTTCAGTCCAATATGCTACATCCAGATAGGATACAAATTTCTAGCCTACAGTCTCTTTGTTGCCAGTGTTTAATTCTTAATAGCGATGTGTTTCTTTGGCACAATATCACTTTAATGTCGAGTGCCACAATGCCGTTTCCCTGTCTGGCACATGTGCTCTTATGTCACTCTGTATGATATATAGTTGCTGTGCTATGAAACTCTATGTGAAAGGACTTCTTGACATCAGAACCCATCCTGAGCATACCCTGACTACAGGGGATACTTGCATGCAAATCAAGCTTTGGAGAAAACCTCATTAAATACACATACTTTTTACCTTTAGAGAGAATGAATATAGAGCAGAAGAGGTCAAAAAAGAAAAAAGAGAGTAGATAAATGAAGACTTGTTTAAGTGGTACCCATTAAGGTCCTCTCTAGAGCAATAATCATTAGTGTCTGATTGATATGCTGTTGGAAGCAAGCACATTCATGCCTTGAAGTCATCACCAAAGTATGTGAGACAGGAAGGCCAGGGTGCTGATGAGCATAGTTGTTAGCATCTCAGCTGCGTTCGGCTGTCTCAAAGAAAAATGGGGTTCGGGTTGAAATTATCAGTCAAAGGGCACCGGCTGCCATTTGTTAGACCCATTGGAAGTTTTCCTGCTCAGACCCCGTGTGGACCCTGCTTGTGGTTTTAGAACATCAGAAACCAAAGATTGGAATAACATGCTGGGAGGCAGCCGAGCCAAACGCGGTACTGTGATAGCTTCGTGACAAGATTAACAAAAAGCCTTCCAGAAGTCCTGTCCCCCAACTCAGGCCATCCTGTCTGCTGGTGTTGGTTACCTTCCTGCTCATTTGAGGCCAACAGCAAAAAGCAGATGGGGAAGGAGAGACAGAAGGTGTCTTACACCAGAATTTAAGAGGCAACTGAGGTTGGACTTAAGTATGGATATAAATTTGAGGACATTTTAAGAGCAGTAAAGCTGGCCTGGGATCACAGAGCAGTAAGCTAAAGAAGACTGTCTTCATTTTTTATACTGAGGTTGTCATTATTCTGGCAAAACAACTTACTTTGTTTACCAAATCCTTAATGCCTAGAAAATTAAACCCTGTGGAGTAGGCTGACTGCATTGAAGGGCGGAACTGTAACAGGGATATAATGTACCTTGGGTCTTCTCCCCCACCTCCTTTTACGTAACATTACAAGGATTGGAGGGTGTGAGTGAAAGTGTCATAGGGTAAGGAAGTGCTTTTCAAATGCTTCAACTGCAGGCAAAAGTCCACATTCTTTAGGTCTGAGCATTTGTGAGGAAACCAAAGCAACTTCTACAGAGTTGCCCAAATGTCAACAACTGAAGATTAATTGAAAATCTTGCAAGTCTTCCCTGCCAGTCCCTTCCAACAGGTTGATCTTCTCACATTTCTTTCAGTCTTGTAGCAAGAGTAGAATTTCCATGAAATTCCACACCAGATACTGTCAGGAGATAATACTCATAACATGTCAGCTATTAACCATAGGGCTGCATTTTTATAAATGAGACAGAAATAAAAAGAATTCGAAACTATACCTAAGAAGATAATTCACCCAGATGATGTTCTTTTCATTGGCATTCTTGGCATTAATAGCTATGGTGGCACTAGACTGTATCCAAATGTAGCCTCCGTTCTTCTGCATCCAGCGATAGTACTTCGTCACACACTGACCCTTATTCAGCACTAGGGGGAAAACAAAGCAGAGGCATTGTATTAAGACTGGGATCAACTGATTTTCATCTCTGCAAAACCTCAACAGTAGGTCCTGCACCAAGTCAAGGGTGCCCCTTTGCATGTTTAGTGTAGGATACCATCAGGAGGAGAAATGAAATCCTCAGTTCAGTGGAGCGGCAGCTCTGGAGCCAGGTTCCTGACATTTGTAGCAAGACTTTATTCTGTTTTGGGCAGCCATGGTGTGAGAGGAAGGATTAAAAAACTACAAATCTTTTTGGCTCTCAGAACACCTAACATGGTGTGGATACTGTCACTGGCTTTGACATCAGATGGTGAGAAGGCAAATTTGTATGTGATTTATTCATAGCTTCAAGGTAGCCCTCTTTGAGACTGTGGATATTTTGAATGGTTCCGAAGACGCTTTGCCCTTCTGTCTTTGATCATTTCCCCTCAGTGAGAGCAATATCAGCTGGCATCCTTACACATCTGCTCCTTTTGATCTTGTCTAACACAATTTACAGTCCTTCGATGAACTAAATCTACATTGGTCAGTCAGGAAATTCTGGTGTGACTGTTGAATGTTGGAACAAAATAAATCCTCGAATCAAATCAGAAAGAAATGCTGGCCTAAGGGAGGCACAGAATTGACTTGGCGAGAGCCAAACAGAGTGACAGCTCCACACAGACTCTAAAATATGGCTGAAAATGAAGGAACAAGTAAAAACAATCAGTAATGTGAAACGGTGCCATTAAATACCCACTGAAAGAGAGCTTTAAAATGCAGATGTTAAAAATGATACTTTAACCAAAATCTTGCCAAGTTGAAATTGATTTGATTTGTATCTGGGTACTCCTGAGCTAGTAAAAGGGGAAAGTGCAGTAAATCATCCCCTGAAATAAAGTGCTAGGGATGGGGATGGTTTAAAAGGATGCCGGAAACGTGCAAAAGCTTCTGTTGTGAGTTGGATACAGATCGCTGGCAACTCTGCACCCGCCCGAGAACGCACCGCACGTCTGGCCACTAGAGGGCAGTGTGCATTCGTCTACGTGGCCCACATTTGGCATGTCCTTGTCTCCGTCTGCTAAAATGAAAAACCTCTAACTGCTGTAATAAATTTGGCTAAATTAGCTGCTAAATGGTTATCTCAAGTAATATGTATTTGCATTAATCATCTTGCTCTAAACCAGAACAAGCCAGAGTCCTAAAGACGTAGTAAATTCATATTGTCCATTTAATTACGGCTAATAAGTGCTTCATATACAATAGTTTCATGAAGTACATTTTGATTTTTTTTTTTGGGGGGGGGTGGATGGATAAAGGGGAGTCACTTTGGAAAAGAGCTGTGTTCGGGCTGTTGAAACTCTTCCTGTCATGTCCCCAGCCACTCCTCCTGCCACTGAACGCGATCACAAATCACATCTCCACGTGTTATATCTATACATGCTTTGATGCTTTTCGCCCATTCTTTTTTTCCTCGCAGTGTGCTAAATGGATGGTTGTAAGATTTAATAATCATGTCTTCACTGTTGCTTGAAAAAGCCTTGCTCTGATGAGTGTTTCAAATTGTGGCAAGTTCCATTCTGAAACTACTGAACAATTTAGGGTGTTTTTAAGGTCCAGAACTGTCACCTTCTCTTAGTGGCAAAGCTCCACAGGTAGCATTGTACTCTCCTTTTGTAGGCGATTGTAAGTTCTGCCATTCTGCATGCATGGCTTCCCAGGGCACAAAACTGCGTGGTGCAGCTGATAGCAGTAAAATACTAACTCTGCCACACAGCTCTTCTGTCAAACCATTGTTGCATGCAAACACGGTGTGCTTTTATTCAAATCCTCTCAACTTGGTTAACTATTAATCGAGGAATGGTACACTATATAATTCTGTCCACTCTTTGATGGAGAACACTTTCAGCACTCCAGTCAGCGCTTGGTGGTACCCTTCCATCTGCTTTATATCCGGGACAAAGGATAATTCCAAAAGGTTCTAGTACTTTTACCAGAAGCAAAGAGACTAAGAAGCTGCCTTTTAGAATCACACGAAGAAAACAATGAGGTGTTGGCTAGATCCAATCAGCCTGGTTGTGGCTTCTGGACTGGACAGTGACCAAAGGTGGGCAAGATTTTTTTAAAAGTCCCCAAAATACAGAGTATAGAAAGTGGCAAAAGAATAAAGGTATTAACCTTTGCAGAATCAACATAAAGATCATCTGACTCTCTTCCTAACACTTTTTCTTTAACAAGGAAGCAAGATCCCAACTCTAAAATGGACAGCAGCGAAACATCTGCCTCCCTGGTGGTCTGCAGGTGTGTGGTGGAGGAGGGCCTAAAAGGTTTGTTCGCCGAAGGCCTGAAATCATGTCATCTCTGTAAGACAAGGCAGGATGACTTGCTTACTTAAGTATCTCTGTGTTTTCAGGGAAACCAAACTCTAATTGATTAGGGGCCATGAATACACTAATGAAAGTCTTCTTTATCAAACCCACATGAGGGGCTATCTAGCAAAGAGAGGAGAACAAAATGAAAGAGAGGCGGACAGGGGAGTTTCAGAGGGAGGAGGTGGTTGTAAAGAGACTGAACAGCAAAGGTGTGGGAGGTTTCCAGGGAGCAACACAATTGTCTTTAAGTTTCAGTGGTAAATTCCAAGAATCAAGTTTTAGAGTCTACCATGGGCAGCTGAAAAACTCAAGTTTGACCAAACCCAAATTATTCCCTGTCTGACAGACAGAATTTTAAGATGAACATTTTAGCATGGTTTTAGCCGATGACTTTTTCTTAAAGATGAGTTTTTTCTGAATGAGACTTCCTGCACTGTTGGGAAGCTGGGTAACTACAGGTAAAGTATGAAGTCAGTTCTCACTAAAGCATAATAGGCCCAAATATTGTCCAACTTGCTTTCGGTTTCTAGAAGATCTCATAAAAAAGGTCACAACAGAGTCTTACTTCTTTTAAAATGAACAAGAAATAAGTTTTGCTTGGGTCTCCAGAATATAAATTTACGACTTCGGGATGAAGCTTATTTCTTGAAAAAAAATCATACTGGCAAATCAGTTGGATCATTCCAGCTGTGCCAGAGGCAGGATCTGACAGTTTTTCCTGAGCTCATGTGGTCCTAATCAGCTCAAGAAGAAAAGCCACCTTGGTGCCAGTTTGAAAGAGATTTTTAGTGTGTGATAAATTAGAGAACTTGGGAAAAAAAAAAAACACAAGAAACTTTTTGAATCTCTTTAATCCAGTGGCTTGTTTTTATTTTCAAGTTTTAGGTTTAGGGAGCAGAGAGAAATGAGAGAATATTTGTGTCAGGCTATTTCAGACAATCCCTTCTGAAGGGAGAAACAGAAATAAGCACAATATGAGTTATCTGATATAGAAGTCCTCAAAAAGATTGAATTATACCTTGAAAAGAAATAGGTACTCATCAAACCAACGAGCCCAGTAGTAAGTTCATAACTATGTGCACAAACTATTTGGGAAAGAAGAGAGGGAGGGGAACTGTACGTGTGTGTCCTATTCGTACTATCACATCGATGAGATATGGGCTGAGTGCTTCTAACATGTAACTTGGTGTCTTCTCTTTGGTTTATTTCAAAGCTTACTTTCTGTTGTCCAGAATTCTTGGTGGTGCTGACTGCGTCTTTCAATGGAATTCACTGACCACATCATAACAGGTCTAGAATTATCTTTAATGGTGTGTGATAGGAATTAATTTTTACTTAAGGATCTCAAAAATTTAAATGGCCTTTCCTTAGATGTCACAGGGTAAACATAAAGACACAGGGAAGATAAAGAGTTTTCATAAATTTGCTTAGAATCTTGAATGGGCCAGACATGACTGGTGCAAGAATATGCTCCTTTTGCTTTGAAGCCTACAATGTAACTGATTGCTTTTGGCTGTTAGTGCTCTAAGAAAAACTAAGATTCTGTCCTCAGCACCCTCCGGGCTCCAAGCTGGAAGCATCTTTTGAGGTACAATCTGTGCTCCTCAAAGGATGGAGGTGACCTTGCCCTTGGGAGAAGAATACAGTCGAGACAAAAACTGAACAATTCCTGTTTGAGCCAGCTCTGTTCAGCTGGCAATTAGAAAACCACGAATAAAGTGTCTCCTAGGCTTTACGTCCAAACAACCCACACTTAACTGTGAAGGGAGTGGCAAAAACAGTTCAATCAGAAGGAAATTGCAATACGCTTACATTTTAGAACATATGACCTTCACATCAAATATGCATCCCCTCCAAAAACTGAAGACCGGATGCTAAGTTTTATTGAGTATCCTTTCTAAAATGTCACTTGGTCTCTTCGTTCAAGCTTAGTGGTTGGCATACAAGAAATGTTCTGCTTGTAGAGAATAATTACTCTCCCTCCAAACATGATGAGCTTTTTTTTTTTTTTTTTCCATAGTGCACACAGTTAAATAGCATTTAACTGTACCAAATATTGCTCAGCATCTATGGCCCTGGAGGCATGTAATTTTGCCTTGGGAAAACTGTGTACCCCGACATAGACTGATGGCTGAAAGGACATAAAGGCAGTCAGTGTCTGTGGCAGGAACATAACTCTGTTAGTAAATCAAAACAAATCAGTACCAGTTTGCCTTCAGAAATATGAATAAAAAAAGAGAACATGGTCCCTTCCTGCTGGAGTGCTCCACAGAAGCAAAGCCAAAGAGTCTAAATAGTGAGTTGGTTGTGTCCGAAAAGAAGGAAGCGGTCGAGTGCAGTCTGAAGAGGAGATGCACAACACATATCAAAAGCGGTCTTTTAGCAAAGTGTCTCACAAAAGCATGCTTTGGTGGTTTGCATATGCATTAAAAAGCTGCAATACTTGGTGTATTCAGGTGAGTATAGAATAAATAGGAAATGGTGAGCTCATCGGAGATTCCACACTTCACATTCACAGGGCTGAACAAAGAGCTTCATTATCGTCACGGCGATAGGAGGACCCATCTGCAGCGCCATTCACCCGCTCCTGGAACTACCTTCTTAGATGGCTGTGGAGCCTGGGGAGTGCACGCCTG